TACCTACATTCCTCGTGCCCTAAACTCAGGCCCTTCCGACTGATCTTCTGCTTCCAGAGAATTACCTTCTGGAAGCACCTTCGGTGGAGTCCAACGCCTGCTTGTACCACATGGTCCAGATTCCTTTCCCAGATGTGACAGGCATGTCTCACCTGGTTCACTCACTTTCCAGAGGCCTGCCTACCACCTCCTCACCCCAGCTCCATATTCCTCCAGATGCTGTGCCTTTGCATAGCTATTGAAAATGCCTGCATTGGCCCCCTCCCTCTCTCCTCCCCTTTACTCTGTCACTTTTGCAGATGGTGTCAGGTTATGGTCCTTGTGTCCCCCATTCTGTGAACTTGAGCTGAGCAGTCTGTCCTCTGTGCTTCTGCCTCAACCATCACTGGCTTCTGTTAGGATATCCTCATAGCACGTGGTGTGGGCATCCTATGTCCAAGGGTCTGTCCTTTCCCTAAGGGAAGCCACCGAATCTGGCTCATCTCGGGCCTCTGGCACTAGCACAGAGCCATGCGTTTACTATAGCCATGAAGTCTCTGGTTACCTAGTAGGCTGCAGGGTTCAGGAGACCCTATTAATAAACTGAGTAACATCCTGTGAAATTGTCAGCTTAAGAGAGTCCTCTGTCAGATATTTTTTTGCCTAGTGCCTTCTACGTGGGAAGTACTGAGCTATGCCCGCTCCCCAGCAGCCCTTGGGGAGCTCGGGGGCGGGAAGGCTGAGATGTCTGTGTTGTGGTGGCTTTTGCTGGTTCTATCACCCAGTCTCTGCCACCCTCTGTCTCCCCCGTTATAATCTTGCTCATCTACCTTTGGCTGCTAACAATCCCTCTTTCTCTAGTTTAAACTAAAGAAGAAAAAGACATTTTCTTTTTTATTTCCCTCTTCAAAACCATATAGATTTGTCAGGATCTTGTGTTGCTGTGCTGAAGTGCACACTGGCATGAAAGACTTATCAAAAATGTCACAAAGACGAGTGGAAAATGTGTTATTTATTGGCTGAGAAATGGATGAGCTGAACCTTTCAGAATGTCTGGCCCCAAGGCCCAGTGGAAGGCTCGGAC